AAAAAAAAAAAAAAGAAGAAACAAAATGCTAAATGTTATATAGTATGACAGTATAAGATTAGAAAGAGGCAAACAAGGTGAGTCTTGACTGTAACTGAAGTACTTTGGGAGACTGAGGCAGGAAGCTTACTTCAGAAGCTCAAGACCAGTCTGGTCAATCTAGCAAGATTCTGTCTCTACAAAAAAGCAAAAATTAGCTGGTCATGGTGGCTCATGCCTGTAGTCCCTGTTACTTGGGAGGGTGAGGTGGGAGGATCACTAAACCCCAGGGGTTTGACGTTGCAGTCAGCTATGATCATGCCACTGCACTCCAACCTGGGAGACAGAGGAAGATCTTGTCTCAGAAAAAAAAAAAAAGAAAGAAAGAAAAAAGAAGGAAAAAGAAAAGATTAGAAAGAGAAGACAAATAATGTAGGAGAGATGAAGAAAATGAAGGTATAGTTATACCGTTAATTTTTACCATGTAGGCATTAAAAATAATAGAGTATACTTATGATAAAAAGTGATTAAACAGTATCTCCTGCTATAATTACAACTATAGAAATGTGTATAAAGTCAAACACTAAAAAAGGAATATAGAAAAGTGAAAATGTGTGGAGCTGAGGTGGTGGGATTTCAGCTGGGACACTTTGTTTTACCATCCACAGTTTTCCCATTTGTAAAAGAGACAGAGTTGGGATATAAGAGGTGAGGGAACTGCCTACACCAGGTAATTTTTACCTGCCTACACCAGGAAAAATACTCATTAACAGAGTTTGTTTTTGTTTTTTTTTGAGACGGAGTCTTGCTCTGTTGCCAGGCTGGAGTGTAGTGGTGCGATCTTGGCTCACTGCAACCTCCGCCTCCAGGGTTCAAGCAATTCTCCTGCCTCAGCCTCCCGAGTAGGGGGGACTACAGGCGTGTACCACCACACCCAGCTAATTTTTGTATTTTTAGTAGAGACAGGGTCTCACCATGTTGACCTGGATGGTTTCAATCTCCTGACCTCGTGATGCGCCTGCCTCGGCCTCCCAAAGTGCTGGGATAACAGGTGTGAGCCACCACGCCCGCCCGGCTGACAGAGTATTTTTGAAGTTCCTTTACACTTGCAAACATAGATATCCTCTGTTCATATCTCCAACATTTTAATAACTATGTGGCAAATTTTAATAACTATGTGGCAAAAGACAGTAGATTAACAATTCCTCTTACCCTCGTCACTCCTCTGTCTTTTTTCTCTTTGCCATCTCTTTTAGACATTTCCTTCTTGCTACTTGACTTTCCTTGACTGGTGGGTTTTTTTTCCTTGATCTCTTCTTCCTCAAGTAATCCAGGATCCTGGGGCACATAGACTTCTTGCTGCGATACAGTTAGAAACAAGGAAGTCTAAAGAATGTTTCAGTTTCCCAGCAATTCCAGGTCTAAGGCACACAGTTCCCTTCTAGGGGAAGAAACAATTCTTTTACTTACAAGCCTAAGAAGAGTCCACATCAATCTAAAAACCCACTCCGGGGCCAGGACACATTCAGACCATCCACTGTACACTTTTTCAAGAGCAATACTGTTCTTACCTGTATTGCCAAAAGGCACTGATTTTCCATATAGGCAACAGTTCTGTTTCCATAGATCTAAACTTTTCCACTTTTCATGCAATGAGCATCCACAGAATCCAGGGAATAAAATCCTCAAGTAGCAAATTATGGGAGCTTTTCTCAAAAGCATCATTGACAGGGTAAAAAAAAAAAGAAGTCCCAAACTCACCTGGGTATTGGGGTCATAATAAGTTCCTGCCAAGGGGTCATAATAGTAGCCAGTAGCAGAATCATATATGTAGCAGTCAGACGATGCTAAAGGTAACAAGATCAGAGCCAATGTTAGTCTCTGTCCAATGAAGCCCTTACTGGAGACTCATCAAGAACAACCCAAGAATTAGGGTGACCAACACAAATAGGTGCATCTACAGATGCCTCTCTCTGGATGAGCACCCTCAGTCAACAGTGTATCTTGCCAACTGTGATCACACAGATGACAAGTACTGAGTAGCAAGTCAAGCAAAAAAGAGCAACAGAAATAAAACAAGGGTTACTTACACTGTTGTCCCTGTCGATTTGTATCTGAAGACCAGTCTGAATTTCTGCCACCTCCCCTCCTATCTCGGAAATATTTTTTACCCTATCACAGAAAGGCAAGTTAAAATTACAGAACTATCCAATGGTCATTCACCTTAACAGTCACCCACTAAAGAAAATTCAAGGTCACCCTTACAGTCACCTGAGGATTTTAATAGAGCACTCCCCACCTTTTACAGCCTACCTGATAGTAATGCATGTGGTCAGAATGGTCCCCAGTATCATTTCTGCAACAGATAACACAACAATTCTTAAGTCTGCTACCAAATGGCACTTGACGAGTACTTAATCCCACAGTTCCTATTGAGAATTTCTCTGTTCCCCGTTTTGCAGGGAAAGGAACCAACCTAGACAACAAGCAGGCTGGGTGGTCCAGACACTCCTGAAAGAATGAGTAGTAAGACTTTTTTTTTTTGAGACGGAATCTTGCTCTGTCGCCCAGGCTGGAGTGCAGTGGCACGATCTTGGCTCACTGCAAGCTCCGCCTCCCAGGTTCACGTCATTCTCCTGCCTCAGCCTCCGGAGTAGCTGGGACTACAGGCGCCCACGACCGCGTCCAGCTAATTTTTTTTTTTTTTTGTATTTTTAGTAGAGACAGGGTTTCACCATGTTAGCCAGGATGATCTCAATCTCCTGACCTCGTGATCCACCGCGCCTGGCCAATGAGCAGTAAGACTCTTACAAAGCCAAGTGGTGGAGCAAAACAGTCATTAAGTGGAAGGTGCTAGAGCAAGATATGCCCCATATTTGTAAGCCTGTTTCTCTGACATGGCCATTTCCAAGTTACCACTCCTGGGTCAAGATGAGTGAAGGAGTAAAGAGAAATTAGATTTCCCAGTCCTATGGAAATATGCACAAGGTCAGGGGAAGGAAAAGTCAGGACAGCATTTTCCTAGGATTGCAAGAGGTAAGAATGTATTGAGATCTGTCTGCACATCCAAAACTGTACCATCATTTTTTTGTTAAGAGATGGGGTCTTGCTGTGCTGCCCAGGGTGGAGTACAGTGGTTATTCACAGGCATCATCATTGCACACTATGGCCTAGAACTCCTGGGCTCACATAACCCGCCCCCCATCCTCGTCTCAGCCTCCTTAGCAGCTGGGAATACAGGTATGTGCTACCATGCTAGGCCATTTGGGACCCAAAGATATCAGACAGTCAAAAGGGAAAGGACAAAAGTACCTAATATTATTCAAGAAAGAAAACAATTTGAAAGTCAGGACAAGTCAGGCTTCAGAAAGAAACTGTAATAAACACCTATCTGAAGCAGTCCATGTGAGGAGGACATCATGCTTTACTGTCTTTCCAGCCAGGAAAAGGAGTTTCCTCCCAAAAACACAAGTGGGGGCAGCACAAGAGATCCTCGCCCTTCTGCCTTACCTTCGTTTTCCAGTGGCCAGGTTTACAGCTACCATCTTCCCATCAATGCTAAACGGTGGATCAAGGTTCTGTAAGATCTTCACCACACGAAGAGCTTCCTATAGAACCAGACACACTTGAACCCAGAGACAGAAAAAGCCAGAACTCAAAGACAGAAAAATTCTCCTTTGAAAGAGAAGTGAACATGGATTTTCCTTCTCAGAGGATAAATTTACTACATTGTATTTGTCAAAATTTTACCAGTAAGAACATACTGGCAGAAACAGGCAACTTTTAATGAAGAACTGATTGAAACAGGAATCAGAATAGATGTCAGTTCTGGTGTAAACTTCAGAAATTCAAATCCTCTTCTTTTAGGGTGCAACTATCATCAATCAGATTTCACTTTACAAAGTCCCTTGTGACTTTTGGGCATGAAAAATCTAAGAAATACCAATGACTTTCATTATCTTCACCTTACTTCCATAGAAAAAGGCCCTGCAACTAAAAATTTAAGCCACAGGAATCTATAAATACTTTGAGGAAAAAGAGGAAATGTTTTATCATCAAATATAAAATCATCTGTGGCTGGATAAAATAAATCAGAAAGTTCACTAAAATCATGAAGGATTCAGTACTCAGATTCTTCACAAGTGAGTAAGTTGGAAACAGTAAATGACACAAGAAAAAAATGAACCCGGAAAATCACACGGGATCCTAACTTTTGAGGGCAGTCACCTCACCTGAATGAACAATAAACCCAAAGGAGAGAGCAAGAGGGATTATGATATCAGGTAGCACACAAGAATCTTCAAATGATCAAGAAGTCCCTCAAACCTTCTTGAAGGTTCTTTAGCCATCTGTCCCTAGGCCAATCCAACGTGGAGGAAACTCACCGCATGGGAGTCGAGGTCAATAAAGCCATAGGTATGTCCCATAGGGCCTGTTCTGTTCTTGATGATACGGACGTTGGCAGTAGTAAGGCGGACATAGGGCTCCAGCACTTCCACTATCACCTCAGGTGGTGTGGAACGATAGATACGCTTTAGCATGATGGCTGAACCAACCATAAATGGGAGAAGGGCAATAAAAGGAAGAGAAAGATAAATTTTTGAAGTCCCAAGAGTCTGTCATTTTTTACTACAGATGCTACTAGCAAGGCTGGTTCTGTAAAGAAATGCTAAACAAATAAATACTGTATACTTTTCTTCACCAATACTTAGAAATCTAAAATCATGCCTTAGTGCATTCATATAGCAATTTACTATTTGAAGGGCATAGATTCCTTTAAGGAGTATAGTAAGGTCCACAGAAAGCAATGGCCTCTGTCATCAGGCCATGCACAGATCTCTTAGGTACTAGAAAGCAGATAGCTCCTGGACATAACATTGGCCATCTATGCTCCATTGTGATGATCACAGTCTGGTATGTGCCCTGACAAACCACTTACTTTTGCTCTCTCCGTCCTGGCGTGTCTCTCCAGACCATGACTCCTTCTCTCGGTCTCTTCGGAAAGTTGGCCCTTCCCTTCGAGAAGGAGGCAGATACCTTTCTGCTTCTCTCTTTTGATGTCCTAAGCGTGACTCTTGTCCTTCTTCCCTCTTCCTGGGTTCAGGTTCCTTATCAGCTGCTCTTAGGGGCTGGTTGGGCTGTTTTTCCAATGGTGCTGGTATGGATGTTTTCTGAGGCTGAGGGTAGGTTATTAATTCTTGCTTGGCCTCTGTCACTAGCGGAACAGAAAAAAAGAATCTGTAGAAGGCTTTATCCAAAAAAAAAAGAAAAAAAAGAAAAACACCACTACTGTAATTTCTCCTTATCTGCCAGCAAATACTCATACTGGAATGCCTTTTTTTTTGATATGGAGTTTTGCTCTTGTTGCCCAGGCTGAAGTGCAATGGCATGATCTTGGTCACTGCAACCTCTGCTTCCCGGGTTCAAGCGATTCTCCTGCCTCAGCCTCCCGAGTAGCTGGGATTATAGGTGCCCACCACCATGCCTGGGTACTTTTTTGTATTTTTAGTAGAGACGAAGTTTCACCATGTTGGCCAGGCTGGTCTCGAACTCCTGACTTCAGGTGATCCACTTGCCTCGGCCTCCCAGAGTGCTGGGATTACAGGTGTGAGCCAACATGCCTGGCCTGGAATGCTTTTAATATTGTCTCAGAAATATCTAATAAAAAGTCCTCTGACAGTTCCTGACAAAATTTTTTTTTTTTTTTTTGAGACAGAGTCTCGCTCTGTCACCCAGGCTGGAGTGCAGTGGCCGGATCTCAGCTCACTGCAAGCTCCGCCTCCCGGGTCATGCCGTTCTCCCGCCTCAGCCTCCCAAGTAGCTGGGACTACAGGCGCCTGCCACCACGCCCAGCTAGTTTTTTGTATTTTTAGTAGAGACGGGGTTTCACCATGTTAGCCAGGAGAGTCTCGATCTCCTGACCTCGTGATCCACCCGCCTCGGCCTCCCAAAGTGCTGGGATTACAGGCTTGAGCCACCGCGCCCGGCAGTTTTTTGTATTTCTTAATAGAGACGGGGTTTCACCGTGTTAGCCAGGATGGTCTCAATCTCCTGACCTCGTGATCCGCCCGTCTCGGCCTCCCAAAGTGCTGGGATTACAGGCTTAAGCCACCGCGCCCGGCCACCTGACAAAATATTTTAAGTGAAGCTAAGATAGGACATGAAATAGTTCACAGAAGAAACTATCCAAGCATTTAAAAAATGTAATCTTATGAAATCTCTGTATCACTTACCCAACATTTAAATATAACAAATCCTTCATGACACCTTGAACCTGACTATTATAATCAATGATAACAACAGATCTGGGGACAAAATTACCAAAGATATGGCCCTTACTTAAGGTTTAGTAGAAACACATATCCCAAACACACTTCTAGAAGCCTTGCTTCTTCCAGTGTTACAGTGCTCAAACAACGACTCAAATCCTGTAAGACCACAGGCCCTTCTCCAGTGAAGCTAGGAACAGACCTTATCTGCACTTAGCTCATTTACATGCAAATAAGCATAATGGGCAGATGTCCTTCAAAATATAAATGACTTATTTCAAATGTCCTACTACAGCAGGATAATTTGTCTTTATAGTTTGTTTTATAATTAGGGGCACATTTTTGTAATTCATTCATTCTTGGATGGTTCACTGGAAGCCATGTGGCTCAAAATGAGGTATTATATGAGAGCAATATAGAGATTACATAATAGCATGACAGGTTTCCAGATAAAGCTGTCTCATCTTAGTGGTATGGTGCCCAAAGGTTTTCATAAACTAACTATTCATTTGTTAGAATAGCTATGAAAAAAAATCTTTCTTGTGGGGGGTAAAAAACACAACTTTGCCTATCCTGAAGTGACCCAACAAGCAAAAATCTCAGTTGTTCATCCCCCTTCCCACATTTTGGTTTGGTCTCTAGAACATACAGAGCATTCCCCTAAAGATTTTCAGAACACATGCCTTTCAGTCTTCACCAGATTAAAATCTCCACAAGAGGCCAAAAGCCCACGGAAGAAACTCCTTGTAGGCACATTAAATTCTAACCTCGGAACAAATAGAAGGCTACCTGAATCCCTGCACTGAACTATATTTTATGGTCATTCTGTGGCTTTCCTTAAGGGATGACTACAGGACCGTTGTTACAGATCCATGTGTCTGACTCTTCGAAGTTGCCTACCTAAAATTTCTCTAAAGAAATTTATATTAAAGATAAGTGCTTGAGAAGCTGGTAGTTTTATTCCTCAAAATAATAAAATGTTCCCCACATCCTGATTATTTTCTCTTATTTATATTTTTACTGTTATTTTAACAAATGTTTTTCTCTTGAAAATCCTGAAATGCTTACAGAGTGTAAAAGAGAAAACAATAGAGCAAATGATTCCCAGTAACTTCAAAGAAGTGAGAGTGGGAAAAGGTTTGCCATATAGACTGATGTCATACTCTTTTTCAACCTAACATCCTTAATCCTTATATGTATTCCAAATAACAATATACTGACCTCTGCTCAGCTGCCCACTTAGCCACTTTAGACTAGGAGCCCATGACCTTATCTCTTTCCTCTAGTGAAAATAAGATCTGAAATCATTTACTAACAGGTCACGTTAAGTTGGGCATCAAACTGCATTTTTTTTTTCTCACTCTGTTGCCTAGGCTGGAGTGCAGTGGCGAGATCTCAGCTCACTGCAACCTCTGACTCCTGGGTTCAAGTGATTCTCGTGCCTCAGCCTCCCAAGTGGCTGGGATTCCAAGCATGTGCCACCACACCTGTGGCTAATTTTTGTAATTTTAGTAGAGACGGGGTTTCGGCATGTTTGCCTCGGCCTCCTAAAGTGCTGGGATTACAGGTGTGAGCCACCGCGCCCGGCCCAAAACTTTTAAAAGGCTGGGCATGGTGGCTCATGCCTGTAATCCCAGCACTTTGGGAGGCCAAGGCAGGTGGATCACCTGAAGTCAGGAGCTCAGGACCAGCCTGACCAACATGCCGAAACCTCGTCTCTACTAAAATTACAAAAATTAGCCACAGGTGTGGTGACACATGCTTGGAATCCCAGCCACTTGGGAGGCTGGGGCACAAGAATCACTTGAACCTGGGAGGCGAAGCTTGCAGTGAGCCAAGATGGTGTCACTGCACTCCAGCCTGGGCCACAGTGAGACTCTGTCTTAAAAAAAAAAAAAAAGGTTTGCAGGCCATGCACCGTGACTCACACCTGTATTCCCAGCACCTTTGGGAGGCCAAGGTGGTTGGGTCACAAGGTCAGGAGTTCGAGGCCAGCCTGACCAACACGGTGAAACCCCGTCTCTACTAAAAATACAAAAAATTTAGCTGGGCTACAGGGCGTGGTGGCATGTGCCTGTAATCCCAGCTACTTAGGAAGCTGAAGCAGGGGAATTGCTTGAACCCAGGAGGCGGACGTTGCAGTGAGCCAAGATTGCACCACTGCACTCCAGCCTGGGCAACAGAGCGAGACTCCATATCAAAAAAAAAAAAAAAAAAGGTTTGTAGATCAGCTTGGATTTAGGGATGATAATTCTTCAAAGCCAAGGAAAACATGAAATTTGTTTTGCTCAATGAACAAGATAAAAACTGCTACTACTTTTGCCACTCACCTTCCCTTGGGTTCTTGCAGAATGAACAGGAAGATCGGTGCCCACCAATGCTTGCCTTACACTGTAAGGAAGAAAGAAATAATTCAATTTGACCGAAAACATTTTTTAAAATCTTATGTATATCTAACAAAGTGAAACCTTTCAAAAATTAAACAAACAAGCCATATCCCAGATCCCCTCAAAGCTTAAAAAAAGAATCTGATTATTCCCCACTGATACAGCTGGCAGACAGGATCTAAAGAGCTACTTTTTGAGAGCTACCTTCTAACAAGGCATCTGGGACTTTGGTGCAGCGCAAATGCCTTTGCCCTGGATAAAGATTCCTATAGGAAATATGCTTTAAAAACTACTGTTAAATGGTTTATAGAATACTACTGTCCCGAAGCCATTTATAGTCTGCACCCAAAACTTGGACCTGAACTGATTGTGAGATCTCCAATCACATTTTGCTAGAACTGAGAAGAATTCAATTATCAACTCCTTTCTCAAACACTGATAATGAGGTACAAGGTAGGAGGAAGAGATACAGATAGTGTCTCTGGCAGCTATCTAAAAGACATTGAAAGGGAACATTCACTAGCCCAGAATAAGGGAAGATACTTTTTTTTTTGAGACGGAGTCTCGCTCTGTTGCCCAAGCTGGACTGCAGGGAGGATATATTTTTAATGTGAATATAATTATTCTTGTCTGAACTTGTGAACAAAATGTCAAACACACTGCCCAACCCTGAAATCCCTCAACTTTTGCCAGCTTCCAAATGCCATGGGGGGCAGAAACTTGGTTTGCAGGATATCAAAGAGTAAGAACTATAAAGAGGATTTATATATAAAATTTATATCAAAAACTATATATAGTATTTGAGGAGGGCCTTATAGGGCGAGTAAAGGTCTGCCAGATGGAGTTGAGAAAACAGTAACAATAGCAGCAGTGGCTAATTATTTTCTTTTTTCTTTTGAGATGGCGTTTTGCTCTTGTTGCCCAGGCTGGAGTGCAACAGCATGATATCGACTCACCACAACCTCCACCTCCTGGGTTCAAGAGATTCTCCTGCCTCAGCCTCCCGAGTAGCCAGGATTACAGGCGTGTGCCACCACACCCAGCTAATTTTATATTTTTCAGTAGAGACCAGGTTTCTCCATGTTGGTCAGGCTGGTCTTGAACTCCCTACCTCAAGCGATCCGCCCGCCTCGGCCTCCCAAATTGCTGGGATTATAGGTGTGAGCCACTGCACCCAGCTGGCTAATTCTTAAATAGTACATACTGTGTATCTGGCCTACGTATATGTCATCACTTATTGATCCTGACAACCCCAATAAACTCCATGAAATGGGTACTCCTATCTCCTCATTTTGTAGATGAGGAAACTGAGTCCTAGAGAGGTTAACTCACTTGAGTAAGATCACTATAGTCAGTTATTTCATTGTTCCCTTCCCTATAAACAGATTATACACATGCATGCACACACACACACCCCTGCTCACTGCCAAGTGGCTGTCATGCCTCCCCACAGGGGGAGTATACTTGCTCTCTCCATTGTCACCCTTGGTCATGTGCCTTCCTTGCTTTCACCAATAAAACATGAGTGAACATGACCTACACTAGGTCTAAGAGAAGGCTTAGCAGCCACTGCTTGTGTGAATGAACCTCTCTCTCCCTTAGCCAGAAGGACACTGCCTCATATTGAGACCGTTTCTTCTGTCTGGGTCCTGGGATGAGAAGCCACGTGAAACAGAACTGTAGCAAACAACCCATAGTCCCTGACATGTAATGTGAATGAAGAATATGCTTGTTATTTTAAGTCACTGGGATTTGAGAGCTGTTACTACAGGAGAGCTGCTGTAGTAACTGGTGCTATTCGTAAACATATAGATCAACAGAATAAAACTGAGAATCTAGGAATAAACCTATAGATTATGGTCAACTGATTTCTAACAATGGGGAAAGTGCCAATGGGGAAAGAATAGTCTCTTCAACAAATGGTGCTGGGACAACTGAGTATCTACATGCCAACAAATAAAGCATGTGACACTTCAGCTAGTGAGTGGCACAGTTAGTGAGTGGCACAGTTGGGATCCTGACCTTAGTAGGTATAATTTAAATACCATAAAACAGGCCTGGCATGATGGCTCATGCCAGTAATCCCAGTACTTTGGGAGGCCGAGGCAGTTGGATCATTTGAGGCCAGGAGTTCAAGACCAGCCTGGCCAACATGGAGAAATCCCATTTCTATTAAAAATACCAAAATTAGCCAGGTATGGTGGCACACGCCTGTAATCCCAGATACTCGGGAGGCTGAGGCAGGAGAATCGCTTGAACCTGGGAGGTGGAGGTTGTAGTGAGCCAAGATTGTGCCACTGCAGTCCACTGCAGTCCAGCCTGGGTGACAAACAAAGACTCTGTCTTAAAAACAAAAACAAACCCCATAAAACTTACCTATTTTATGTGTACAATTCAATGATTTTTAGTAAATGTGTAGTGAACAATCCCCACAATCTAATTCTGAAACATTTTCATCACCCCCAAAAGAAATCTAGTGGAGTTACCTCCCCCCATTCTTACCCTTAGGGACATGGAATTGTGCAATGTATGGTATTCTGTGTCTGGCATAGTGTTTTCAAGGTTCATCTAGGTTGTAACATGCATCAGTACTTTATTCCTTTTCATTGTCAAATAGCATTTCATTGAATGGATATGCCAACTTTGTTCATCCATCCGTCAGCCAACGGACATTTTGGTTATTTCCATTTTTTGGCTATTATGAATAATATTGCCTATTTAAATAGGTACATAATAAAATTAAACATTGTCTTTTTTTTTTGAGATGAAGTTTCACTCTTGTTGCCCAGGCTGGAGTGCAATGGTGCAATTTCGGCTCACTGCAACCTCTGCCTCCCAGGCAGATTCTCCTGTCTTAGCCTCCTGAGTAGCTGGGATTACAGGCATGTGCCACCATGCCCAGCTAATTTGGTACTTTTAATGGAGATGGGGTTTCTCCATGTTGGTCAGGCTGATCTCCAACTCCCGACCTCAGATGATCCACCTGCCTCGGTCTCCCAAAGTGCTGAGATTACAGGTGTGAGCCACCGCGCCCGGTTAAAAAGAAATTTTTTTGAGACAAGGTCTTGCTGTGTCACCCAGGCTGTAGTACTGAAGTACAGTAGCACTATCATGGCTCATTGCTGCCTCAACCTCCTGGTCTCAGGTGATCCTCCCACCTCAGCCTGCTTAGTAGCTGGCACTATAGGCATGCACCACCACAACCAGTTAATTTTTGTATTCTTTGTAGAGATGGGGTTTTGCCATGTTGCCTAGGCTGGTCTCGAACTCCTGGGCTCAAGTGATCTGCCCACGTCAGCCTCCCAAAGTGTTGGGATTACAGCCAGGAGCCATACCTGGCTGACCTTATCTCTCTCTCTCTCTCTTTTTTTTTAAGAAATGATACTCTCAAGAAAGTGAAACAGAAGACACAGAAAACATAACACATAGAAAATATTTATGAATTATATATCTGACAAGGGATTAATATCCAGCAAATATAAAGTACTCTTACAACTCAACAACAAAAAGACATACAAATCAATTCCAAAGGGCAAAGGACTTGGTTGAACATTTCTCCAAAGAAGATATACAAATGGCCAACAAACACATGAAAAAAGACTCTCAAAGTCAGTAGTGAAATGCAAATCAAAACCACAATGAGATATTGTTTCATACCCATTAGGATGCTATTATCAAAAAAAAGGGAAAAGAACAAACGTTAGCAAGCAGGTGGAGAAATGAAGCCCTTATATATTGCTGATAGGAATATAAAATGGTACAGCTATGGTCTATGAAAGTTTGCTAATAATAATAATAATACAATAAACACAGTTTGGTGGTTCCTCAAAGAGTTAAATATAAAAGTACCATATGATCCCAGCAATTCCACTCCTGGATACATACCCCCAAATAACTGAAAACAGCTGTTCAAACAAAAACTAGCACACAAAGGTTCCATTATTCACCAGTCAGGGCAGAAACAACCCAAATGTCCATCAACTGAGCAATGGATGAAAAAAATGTGATATATTCATATTATTTAGCCACAAAAAGAAATGAGGTACTGATAAATACTGCAACATACATGAACTCTGAAAACATGCTAGGTGAAAGGCCAACACAAAAGTTTACATATTTTGATTCCACTTATATGAAATACCCAGACTAGGCAAATCCATGGAGTCTGGCAAATCCATGGAGATAGAAAAAAGATTAATGGTTCCTGGGGACTAGGGGAAGACAAAGTGGCAAGTGACTGATTAATGATATGAGGTTTCCTTTTGGGGGTTTAAAAAAGGTCTGAGGCTAGATATGGTGGCTCACACCCGTAATCCCAGAACTTCGAGAGGCCAAAGTGAGAGGATCGTTTGAGTACAGGAGGTCAAGGCTGCAGTGAGCCATGATCACATCACTGTACTCCAGCATGAGAAACAGAGTGAGATCCTATCTCAAAAAAAAAGAAAAAAGAAAAAAGAAATTCTGCATCCTGGCTAACACAGTGAAACCCCGTCTCTACTAAAAAATGCAAAAAAAACTAGCTGGGCGAGTTGGCGGGCGCCTGTAGTCCCAGCTACTCGGGAGGCTGAGGTAGGAGAATGGCGTAAACCCCGGAGGCGGAGCTTGCAGTGAGCTGAGATCCGGCCACTGCACTCCAGCCTGGGTGACAGAGCCAGACTCCGTCTCAAAAAAAAAAAAAAAGGATAATTTACATAGTGTTTATAACAATTGCCCATTTACTTACAAAAGTAAATGGGCACCATATGTCAAAATAGATGGAAAAGATCTATAAAACAAAATAGATCCGCAGTCATTTACACACACACACACATACATACACACCCCTTTGGTATCTGTACCATGAAATAGTTATAGGATAAATGCAAAAGGAGGAAGTATTTACAATGTGATCCTTAGGGGAAGAGCTATTCCTTTATGGTTTAGGATAAATATCAGAATATTTTGGAAAACACAATGACTTTGCTCACAAACTAATCTATTAATGTCTAAGACAATCTGAGATGGAAAATGATGCTTTAAGTAGTAAAGATAGGGATGTTCTTTCAAAACGTGTAGTCAGTGCCAGGTGCAGTGGCTCACACCTGTAATACTAGCACTTCGGGAGGATCACCTGAGCCGAGGAGATTAAGACGAGCCTGGGCAACATAGCAAGACCTCATCTGTACCAAAAGTTAAAAATAAACAACAAAAAACATGTAGTCAGTCCTGTTGAGGAAACTGATGATCGGCTGTGAACTTCTCAGTCAGCAGAGGGAAAGAAGCATCTTTTGATGTGGTATTCTGTTAAGAAATGCAAGGTGCATTTCAGTTCACAAGCTGTGTGTTTA